CCCACAGCCACGGCGCCCAGCCCCTTGCAGTCCCCCGGAGCTGCCTCCGTGCAGCCGCCCCCGTCCTCCGCCCGGCTTGTGCAGCCTGTCCCTGCCCGCCGCTGCCGGCCCGCGTCTCAGGCTGGGTGTCGGGGGGACGCTCTGTGCCCGTTTAACTTAGTTCTGTCAGACAAGGGCTGCTCTGTACAGATCCGAGCCTCGTGGGCTCCCCTTCCGTCCCGCTGGCCTCTCAGTTGGAGAGGGGAGACCCAGCGAGCGAGCGCCAGTCCTCCTTTGCCGCTCCCTCCCCGCGGGACCTGTCCTGCGCTGCTTTGCCTTTTGTTCTTTCTTTTTTCCTTTTCTCCTACCAGATTTTTGGCGTCTTTATCTTTTGAAGAGGGCGATGATCTGTTGGAGTTCCGCAGGTGCTCTGGTTGGCTGAGTGGGTCTGTAGATGTGGGTCTTGGTGTATTTATGGGAGAGGGCGGCTTACAAGCGTCCTTCTACTCCGCCATCTTGCCTCTTCTCCCAATAACCACCTGTTTAACACACATTGTATATCTTTCTTAAGCGGGTCATGATCTGCAGAATTTTTAACACTACGTATTTGAAGATATTTAGGAATTATTTAATTCCTAGGATGTGGTGGTAGTAAGATGAAACTGGTTTGGCCGTTTATTGATAACTGGTGAGGCTGAATGGTGGATACATGGGGTTCACCATATACTAGACAGTTTTTGTATATTTGAAGTTCTCCACAATGAAAACTTAAAAATTAAAAAAGAAAACATAAGTTATTATTTATTCTATTTTTTAACAGATAAATGAAACATTTCATGAATCCGAACTAAGAAGACAGTATGTCAAATCTCATGTTGTCCAAGTAAGGTATGTAAAACAGCCTGAGAGGCACAGAGAAGAAACTTTTCCTTTGCCTTCATATCTCATATTCAACAGACTATCTTTGCTTAGTATATAACTGAAAGGTTAAATTTAGGGCTTCAAAATGACTAGCATTTTCAAATGTGAAAAAAAGGAATTCAAGGTCTGTTGTAAAATTATTAAGCCAGAACCAAGAATTCTTGCTGATGGTGAGTATTGGGTAAAGGTTAAATGGGTTTACTTTTTGTTTGAAGGCACAAAGTCTAAAAGCAAATCTAAAATCAAGAGAAGGTGTCAGTGTGAGAATGGGTAAGATAAGAGAGCTGTGTACAGAATCCCTGACCCAAGAGTAGCAGACTAGTGGCAGACAATGTGGAAAACCTTGCTTACAATCGTGGGTTAAATGTAAAAAGTTGGAAATTTCACATAAAAAGCAGAATTATCAGAATGTGTTAAAAAAAATCAAAAGATCTAACAACATAGGACCCACATTCCCACGTGGTAACAATATTCTGAAGTTGCACTGTTTGCAGCAGGCCCTAACATGCCCACAATGTATGCATATGTATTTACACCCAACCAACTTCACTCCTTTACCTTACCTTTCTGCCCTTCTAGAAATCCAATTCCACAGCTATTTTCTGGCAGCAAACATGTTTATCCAAACGCTAGTAAAGAACAGGCAACCCGTAACAGATATGAAAAAATAATAACCACAAGCACAAATAGAAAAGTTACTATGCTTTGGAATAAACCCCTTCCTAAAACTAGAACTTGTACTATTTAATTTTCTTGATTGATTTTTAAATAATCCATGCTCTTAACCGGAACCCCCAGAAAACTTTATTTAACCCATTTAACCTGATAGCAACCCTGTGTGATATGTATATATTAGTTTCTCATTTTGCAGAGGAGGAAATGGAAGCAAACGCAGGTTAAATGACTTGCCAAGGTCACACAGTTAATATGTAATAAAGCTGTAGTTGAACCCAAGCAGTCATATCTAGATTACTGCATCAACTAGTCTAATCTTCAGCTTTTACTCCTTCTATTATGCATTCTCTACACAGCAACCAAAGTGAATTGGAAGAGGACATCATCCCCCTACTTAGCATCCTCTGGCAGTTTCCCACAAATGCCACGCTCCTTATATAAGGCATTTGACCCGGCCCTGCTTCTCTCTGACTTCATCTCATAGCCTTGTCCTCATTCAGCATTTGAAATCCACACAGACCTGATATTTTTCCTCCAATAAACATGCCAGAATTGTTCCCACCACAGGGCTGTCAAACCACAAATTGCACCAGAGTTGAACAAACAAGGAAGATATTGTTTAAGGCTTTTACAACAGGGTAGAAAAGCCAGAATTAAATCCTAACTTCCTTGAAGCAGAGCACCATAGGGTTTTTAAAGGCTGGGGTGAAAGGGAGATCTTAGGCCATCTCGGTTTGCTAACTGGCTTTGCCCAAAGAAAAGTAAACTTTCCATAACTCTTCATTACAGGAGAACTAGCCCACTCTTGCAAATTGTCCCTCCACTAAAAATTAATAAATAATAAACGATTCTCTCATCTTACCTTTTACATCTCATTTTGTTATTTGCTCTTGGCCCTTCCTACAAAGTCCATAGTGCAGTTATAATACATAGATACATTTATATTAATAATTTTTGCACAGCACTCTGAGATTTTTCACAATACCTCCACATGCATTATCTTATATGGTGTTTACAATAACTCAGTCAACAATATTATAATATTATCATCTCCATTATAGAAATGAAAAGCCATCTCTATAATATACAGAGTACGATACTCCATGCTGTAGTCAAGGAGCTGGCAAATAGTGAATCTGGAATACAAATTCAGTTCCCATTAAGTCTAGATCACACTGTCTTTACTGTTCACCATGTCCATAAAGTGCCGTTTTCACTCCCTTGGGAGGAACTGGAATATCTGCCAGGAGCTCTGGTTAACAAAGGAGAGAATGACTCCACCAAGAATGATAAAAGCGTAATTTCTTTGTCTGTTTCTGTTCTGCAGCCGAGCCAAAGGAAAAGTGATAATACATGCTGTGCTGAAGTTTAAATCCTGTTATATAAATGGTGCGGCAAAATTTTGGGATAGTGTTGAAACCATTTTACATCAGAAGTTAAAGGGCAAAACTGGGTCTTTGTGTATAGAATCTTCTTCATTTAAATTTTCAGGTAAGGCTTTTTATGTACGATATGGAATGATTTTCATCTTTTAATTTGAATATGGTGTTTTGTTGTGCAAGTGAAGACAATACTTTTCTCTTTGAATATCATTTCATATACAATAATACTGCTTTTAACCACTATTGAAGTAATCAAGGTCTAACTACATTAATCAATTTTTTGATGTAATATCATCCTTACAGTCTTAGAACTAAATCTTACTTGATGATAGAGTTTGTTTTTGTTTTTTTTTAATAATCAGGGTCCCAAATAACACTTCTTTGCAAAACAAAGCAGTCTTAAGCTCAGACTCTTCTGGCTTGTTCTGTGGGTTCTTGATTTTTCCCCAAGTTCTTTCAAATGTCTCAAGAATCTAGGCTTCTAAATTCCAGAATTGAGTCTGAATCGCTTTAACATCAGACCTACTTCTTGATAGGCCTTTCATGGACTTCATCTCTCTCTTCCTATGTACAATCTATTTCTTATTCTTGGTCACCTAATAATACTGTGAAAGTTGGCTTCTGAAAGGTAGGGACAAACATCCTCGGTTCCCAGGATAATGAGTGTCTGCCTGGTCTTGATAAAAGCATAGCCAATGCTGGGCACAGCTAAGCAGTTCTACCTGGCTATCAGTTCTCTGTTACAACAAATTTGACCAAGGGCAGAAAAGTATTCCTACCCTATAGGAAGGACTAAAAGGACTGTGAAAAAAAAAATCTAGGCCAAGTGTTCAATTGTCTGGAGCATCAAAAGAATAAAAAAAACTCATCATTCCTCAGGAATAGTAAATTGTTAACTAAACATACTGAGTTAACCATTTAATCACCATGATCTTATGTCTTAAAAATTGTTCACATTTAAATCCTATGAGAATAATGGAAACACATTGATTTATAGACAGTTCAGCTTAAAACATTTATAAATATTTCAGCCTTGCCAGGGTGTGTTGGCATGTTTTTGTTGAGAACAATTAAAATTGTTCACAGATAATTCCTATTTCCTTACAAATTGATTATTACCCATGATCCTTCGGAGGAAAATCTTATAGAAAGAGGAGCACTATGTTGTTTAAAATGATTTCAAAATGCCGATTAATTTCCTTGGTATAGGACATTAGAGGATCTTAGCTTAAATGTCTGGTTTTAATTTAAACAGTGTTAAACATTAAAAAACATTAAACATTAAACAGTGTTACACATTAAAAAAACACTAAATACTTTTGAGATACAGTCTGCTCACATATTCTGGTTCTCAAATACGCATAGAAAGCAATGTCTAAAATAGACTTTAGCATTAAAAACTGACATAGTATTTTGTAACTACACCATGTATGGAATTTTTTTTAATTGAAGTCAATCACTAAAAACAATTAGAAGGCAGGGTATATTCACACAATTAAGCTGAAGAAAGCACTAAATTTTTCTGTATTCTATAATATATATATATTTTTTAGTCAGATTAAAGTTTTTTAAACTCTATGGAATGTAAATATATTTTGCTATTACTGTATGTGTGAGTGAGTGCTCAAACACTTTGTAAGGAAATTAAGATGTTTTAGAATGTTACACTATGCATCAAATGAAATGTGCCCTTATGTCACTTTAAGAAAAAGTGTTTTGCAGTCATAAATTATCACAAATTCACAAATTAAAGTTTAAGTTTAAAAAAAATCAAAAAGCAAAACATAAACATGCTTCTTCTGGATAAAAAGCCCTCATGTTGTTGAAATGTGACTCTCCTCGGGTTACATCCGTCACTTTGTCTTAGAACCTTCCTTCTCACGTGGCTTATCCTACATGTGATGACCTCAGAAGAACATAGAAATAAAGCAGCTGTTCAATTTATGGAGAATTTGCCACCAAAGATATATTTTTGGAAACTTACCTGCTAAAAACGTGAACTCACATAGTAAAGAAATGGCATTATATTCCTAGTATTCCTCCAAACGTTAAGAACATTATGTAGGATCCTAGGAAAATAGACTTTCTGGGGGTCTTTTCCAGATTTATGATTTTTCTCAATAGTTTTATTTATTACAGCACCATCCTACAAGTTTATGAAAAGCAATGACAATTATTAAGTGTAATACACCTAAGTATGGATGGTTCTTTGTTATGACCTTAATTTCTACCCGTTGCCTAGAAACTCCCTGTCTCTCCTTCTTCACCCCTCACAGAAGCTAAGATGCCTTGTGACACTGGCAGGGGTTCACAGGTGCAGGAACAAACCCAGAAGCCAACGAGGCCAGGCCTCCAAAAGTACAGTGAAGTGCATTAAGACAAAAGCTCACATTCATGACAGCTCTTACTTAAAGAGATTATGAATCTTCATTGGTCACCACTTAAATAGATCTCTGGCTTAGGGATTTATGAAAGCTATTTAGATAGCCAAGGTTGCTGTCACAGCATCTTTTGAATAGCCTGACCTTCTTATGCTGTCTGGTTAGTTCAGTTGCTTAGCACCTACTCCTAAGTATGTCAAGGTTGTATATTTCATTTTCATAGAAGCTGCTAACGAAGAGGAAAAAGACATCACTGGCCAGAGTTGTTAGTTACAGTGAATGGCAGAATACAGCACCAGTGTTCCTATACTATGCCTAGAAAGAGGGGATATAGAATAATGGTTAAGGTCACAGGTCCTGCTTATGAGATTTGAATCCCATGTCCTTTACATATTAGCTATGTGACTTTGGAGAAATTACTTGGCATTTCTATTTCTCAGCTTAACCACCTTATAATGGAGATGATGATAAAAATAAAAAACAGTTCATACGGTTGTTGTGCGTATTTCAGTGACTTAATACACAGGACTGATACAGAGCATTATTAATTGTTGGGTTTTTATCAGAAGAAAAAAATACTCAAAATCTGTATCCTATGGATTGCAGGTTTGCAAGTCAACTATTTGCTATTATTTGTTTTCATAGTCCTGCCCATACCCTCCCCCTAAATTTCAGGCTGCACCATGGGTGAGGGGGAAGGAACTGTGAGAACGGCCTTTCAAAGCACTAGTGCAGTAGAGCCAGCTCCACATCCCCATCCCCATCCCCATCGCCTCACCAAAAACAAATCACTTGATCTCACAGAGCCTTAGTTTCTTCGACTTTAAAAAAGGGGTTATAGTTCATATATTCATAGTGTTTTCTTCTGGGAAAAAATGAACACATACATAAATAAAGCTCTTAGCACAGTGCCTGGCATAGGGCAAGCACTCAATAGATAGTAACCAAGACAGAGTTTCTTCTATATATACACTTTGCAAAAGAATATTTTTTCAGCCATCATGATAATTCTTCTGATAATTGTATGCTTTGTTCACTGTACAACCAACTGAACCTTAGGGAACATTTCTGTGTGCTTTTCATGTTTGGATTCAGAACAGGGAAATAGCTCATTTTGAAGAGTTTTTTTTTATAAGCTTCAAGGATGAAATAAATCAATGCCAGTTGAACAAAGAGATAAAAATTATTACTTTTGTAGCAATACAAGTTAATCAACCAGAGCGTCCATTAACATTTCAGCATGTAATAATTACACCTATTTCAGGAAGTTGTTTTATATAATTCTTAGTTATAATACTAAATCATTACCAGGAAAATTTTTAAATCACCTATTATTGGCTTTATTTATTTATTGAAGAAATATGAACAACAATGCTATGGCCAGAAAATTTTAATAAAATTTTAGCTTATTAGTTATTATTGTATATTCTAATATTAAATTCATTTTCTTTTTCTGTGCACATATCAATTGATACTGGAGTGAGTATCTAAAAAGGGTTGTTTGATGATTTTTAGAAAGTTTGCCATGGATCATCACAACTAATAAAGCAAAACCTCACAGGTTTCCACTTAGAATTTGTGTTCACTGTAACTGCCATGCATGTTAAGTTACTTACCCCAAATCAGTAGCAAAATTAGCAATAGTAAATGGTTTACTAGTGTCTGGTCTAGATCAAATGAATGAAAATTCATTATTCATTGGACAGTGGATATTTGGAAGGCTTTAGAGTTGGAAAAGACCTTCAAAATCTCTGGTCTGGTTGCCTCACAGGTAAAGAAGATTCAGTGAAGTAAAGTGATTTGTCCTAACCCGTAAAATAAATAATGGGCATACCCAAGACTTGAACCCATGTCTTTTGAATCTAAGTGTACTGTGCATTCTCTCCATTATTTTATGAATCAGTTTAGAACTGAGAGCTGCACTAAAAATCTGCTTAAGCTGCAGATTAAAGTTCCTAGTGAAAAAAAAAAATCTGCTTTCTTTTTCCAAACTTGTAGTCAGTTATTTCAAATCTGAATCTTTTAAACTGTGTCCTCAGTTTTAACATTAATGAAGAAAGGATTTAAATCCATATCTAATTTAAAGAATCATTGAGAGGAGTTAAAATCAAATATTATGAAATACCAATTTTAATAAACAATTATGAAGTATTTGTACAAGCACTTTGCTAGGCACTATGGGGAATTCGAAGAGAAAAAGTCTGGACAGCCTCACATAAATCAGTGAAGTTAGAGCACTCCCTCACAGCATACTCAAATTTTTCTTTTCTATTACTGATGAGTTGCATATAACTCTTTCTTTCCTGCATAAAATTGCTTAAAGTACAATATACTAAATGCCAATTTTAATGTATTCTTCCCCTTAAAATTATTTTTGTTTCAATGATAAAATATGCTTTAAAAAGCTTTTATTAAAGCTCATAATGTGAGAAAAATCAATAAGGGATTAGATAAGGCATTAAACATATTAATAGCTCTTTTTTTAAGAAGAAAAAAAAATATCTTTCCCAAGTCTGTCAACTCAGGCTACAAAGAAAATTAAAGATTTCAGGAATTTCTCCCAAAACAGTTTTTCTATTCTTTGTATCCTTTATATCCTTTGTCTCCTAAGTAGAATTTCCAGAGAAACACACAGGAGTCCTAGGTTGTACTGAGTAAGAAAAAAATAGTTGTGGTTTGTCTTTAATGACAACTTACATGTTCAATCTCAAAACCATGTAATTGTCATGGATTTACTCATAAGTAATGCATAAAATAAGTCTATAAATTGTCATGGTTGTAACTGGATCTATTTACCACTTCCTGAATATTTTTATTTTTCTATATTTTTTTCAAAAATATATAGTTCCCAGAAGAATTTTTTACTGTAAAAAAAGATACATTTAAAACAAGCAACTTGAAATAAGTTCCAGAGAAAAAAATAATTTGTTCAGAATGAACACATGAATATTACCAGGTGTTGGTTATTTTGCATCAAAAACTACTGTATGCAAATTGGCAAGGGACTCTGACGCTAAGGAATTACTTGAGAAGAGAGAGATATGAACGAAAGCTTCTTGGAGAAGCTGCCTCTTAAGATGAGTCGTAAAGACAGCAATGGGCATGAACTAAAAGAAATCCACAAAGAAATTCTCTTCTGGTTGCAACCTCAGAGCTGTACCATAAAAAGGCAGACTTCACAAGGTGTCTAGGTACCTGAGAGAGTCAAACTAGAAGCTTTCCAAACTGAAAGTGCTAATCCTAAATAGTAACTTCCTATTCAACATGTGTCCTCAAAAGGGCCCCTTAGAAACACAAGGATGGCATTTCAAAGGCATTACGACACGTTATCACTTACATTATCCACTGCTCACTACATCAACATAACTGTCTAAAGATACTCCTCTGTACATGTCCTCTATTCATTATAATAATATTTTATACTGCTTCCAAAGATTAAAATCAACAATGGCTAAGTCATTGGAGAAGCATATATAATATCCAAATAAAAATAGAAATTTCTGATTTTACATACATCCTAAAAGAAACATAGTTCTACCTTTAAAACTACACCTTGCATATATGCCTGCTTATTAATTAATTGTTTAATTAATTTGTAAATATTTAACTATTTAAATCTTAATAAAATATTTTTAAAATTTATCTTCAGAGTGAAAATGGAAAACATATTGAAGATCTGTACTGTGAAAAACTAATCTACATCACTCTGAGGAATGACAAATGATATGTAATACTTAATCACAGAGACAATTTTCAGCCTATCAGAAATATAAAGAAAAGGATTTATTAAGGTTAAATATGCAACCAAGTGACTAATCAAAACCTCAATGAGTGAAGGATTCAGATTTTGTTCAGGTCCATTCTCTGTTTCTTTTCCTTTTAATGTAGATCAGTCATATTAATGCTCCATGGTACCTTTTTTTGATGAAAATAGTATAAATGAGCTTCCATGGTGAAAGATGATCATTTCTGTGACGTAAAACAATTTTATAGTGGTTGTGTTGCTCAGTAAATTCATGTATGTTTAGTTTTAAGGTTTACAGAAATCTACCACATAAACATTTTTAAATATCCCATAAAACGCATTTCACAAGAGAATTCAGCTGATCTCTTCTAAGTGTGTAGTGCTAGAATCCTAGGAAAACTATCTGAAAAATAGGATTAATTAACTAATTTATCAGTTGGATTTAGGTAAAGTAATAAATTCACGTAAGTGGAGTTATAATCCATGGTCTATGTAAAATTTAAGTTATAAATGTACCTACTGCTACTGTAAAATTCTTCCTTATACTTTACAATCATACAGCTTAGTTTTCATTATTACTATGTTTCAGGCTTCTTTTTTTAGGAAATGAAATGTTCACTGGACAGTAGACTTTTAGGGAGCCCTCATTCTTACCAGCACTCCCAAACTTAAATTCTTAATTCCTAACCTCAGAAAGACACCAAATAGGAAACAATGGTCATGGATTTGCAATACTACAGATCCAAAAGTCCATATGGAGAGCATCTATGCATCTTTTCTAATCTGATATTCAGTAGTGAGTGAATTAAGCTTATTTTGCTCCAGTAAAATTAATTTGTTGACTCTTTCCCAAAAGATGTTTGTCATCAACTATTCCTATTCCTCCCTACTCTTTTCTAGGTGGCTTTCCTTGGTGCATCCAATTTTTTATGCATACATCTGCCATAGCACTTATCACTTAATATTGAGTTATCTACTTAATTGTACATCTCTTCCACCACACTTCAGGTTCATCAAGGGCAGGGTCCATGTCTTTTCTTCTTTGATTCCCAGCCCAAAGGAGAAAAACCAATGCTAACATTTGCTGAGCTGTTTTTTAAAACTGCTTTATCATATTATTCTTTGATGGTAATCTCCTTCTTGGCAGGGGCAGTGACTTTGTGTGTGTGTGTGTGTGTGTGTCACTTCCTTTATGGGGTACATTGTAAACAGAGTATCTCAGGTTACATTGTTGACTCCCTGATTCAGAGGTAAATCCATAGGAGTTCCAGCCTTTGAGTGTGAGCCAAGAGATTTAAAAGGAAAGAAACAAACAGCCAGAGCAGTGACTCAGTAGAAAAAAAGTATCAGCTTGTCATTTCTCCATTCATTGTACCTGTCTTCCACCTATCTATGGATAGTTATTATATTAAGCTCTGAAATAATAAAACTATTAAAAGTTTTAACTTACTTTACAGTCAGAAACATTTCTTTCTAGCAAGTCATGCATTAATAAAGAGAATCTCAAAGAAGAAAGTTTTGTGAACAAAGTAGGGTTTCTAAATAATTAGTTCTTAAGATATAGGAATTAACATTTTTCCAATTGAGTTACAGGAGTTGAATTATTTCCCAAAATCTTAATATGGTTTTATATAATTTACCAACCACACGAAGCTCAAAATCAAACTCCACTGGTATTAAGTCAAATAAAAATTACCCTCTGCAATCCAGCCATAAAAGGATTAGATGGACATACACTATCTGTTTAAGTAGGTGTGCCTCATATTTACTCATAGTCCATCTGACTGCTGAATTGCTCCTGCTTTTTGTTCAGACAGGTTGACTTCCCAGTAAAGAATTCTTTTGTCTCCCTGATTTGTTGTGCAACTTAATATAAGAATGTTTAATTGAAAATGACATATATAACTGGATACTCCCTCCTGGACTTACAGAAATCCAAGAGCATGATAAAAACAAACCTACATTGGCATTTATAGTATTTAATTTGTAGAGCAAGTGGTGATTTCTTTTTGAAGAGAAACTTAAGTAGAAATGGTTAGTGGATTTACAGTTCTCTGCATCTGAAACTTGGAACATAATTGTAATCACTTATTCACTCTCTCCTCACACACTTTGCACATGCATTAAACAGGCTTACAATTCTGCAGGGATGTGGAGCCCATAGCAAAATTATCTGGAGTAAATCTCTATAATATTCTCTAGATGTCTAGGAATGGGTAGACAGTGTTAAAGTCTGCCTTGTTACTAAAATTTTTTTTATCTAAAATGAATGGGAAATGGAATGTCATGTTTAATTGAATGTTCTGAATAATTGAAACTTACTACACAAAATGTACTGATTTTTAAATGATCAAAATACAGCAAAATGCACACAACACCAAAAAAATGCACTAAGTATAATAGTGTACATACTCTTTCCTAATTACTAATTATTTGTTCTGGTATATGACTGTTTGAGTGTCTTAGCCTGTTTCCTCAAAAAGCAGAGCCAGAGCCAGAGGCTTGCATGCAGTAGCTGATTTGAGAAAGAGTTAAGGACAGAAAGAGTGAAACAGGGAGAGGAAGTTGGCCGTCACTAGCTGCAACTCTAGCTCCTTCCCACAGGACCTTATGAATTATAGTTTGGAACCATATTCCCCTGTGACTAAACAGGGAAGGGTCAGTCTATCGCCTCCTATCCTGCATTGGCTCCAATAGAGTTAACTCCCACATTTCCTATTGTCCATCTCAGAAGTCCAGTGGGTTCCTTCTGGCAAAAGGTGAGAAGTCTTAGGTGATGACATGAGAAGGGCATTTGTCAAGTTTCTCCTGAGTACAGCAGATCCAAATCTGAGGGCCATTGGTCACCACACTGTGGCTGGAATAAGAGGGACTAAGAGTATTTATAGTGACACATAAAAGATGTCAAACACATTTGGTATCTGGTGATTTGGATTTAAGATACTGTGAAAGATCCCCATTTTTCGAATATTTCAGTACTTTCTAGGACCCAAGACCTCTTTTTCAAATAACCTGTAATGGGGAACTTGAGAGTCTTTTTAGAAACAGAATAATGAATACTAAGATTATATTACCCTCTATACTAATCTCTGAACATAGAAATTACAGTCAAGATTGATAAAATAATTATGCCTACAGAACAATGTGTTTCCCAAAACAAAATAATTAATATTAAAACAAAATGTGTTCATAAATGTAAATATTTCCATTTTCTTCTCCCTTAACTCTTAGACATTGCAATGCCGACAGCAGAAAATCTTCTCCATACCTGTAAGTTCATAACAGTTATTTTCTGGTAAAACTTATTTCCTTGGATGGCAAAAAAAAAACCTTCACTTGAGAGTCAATGTGTGTATCTGTAAAGTTGTAATAGAAACTTGTATTAAGATGACTGTAAATGGTCTTAAATTGGCTGATCTCATGAATTTAAAATGAGGAACGTATTATCACAGGCCATAATAGCAGAGGGGCTCCAAGGACAAGCAGTGATAATTAAGAACTTAAAATCTAATACTAGCTACACATCAGTTTTGAGCCCCAGATCTGCCACTTACTAACTGGGTGAATTTACACAGCTTATTTAACTTCTCAAACCTTCAGTTCCAGGTTGTGATGATAAAAGAAGGTACAAGTGAAATACTTTAAAGAGTATACGGCTCATAAGAAGCTCTCAAAGGTTGTCAGCTGTTTGCATTTTCTACTCTGCTTATGAAAACTTTAGGTCTAGGAACTCACTGTGGAATTCTGATCCTAGAAGCCAAGTTTTATGTGCTGAGAAATCAGTTGTCTTACATGCAAGCAGCTCCCTGCTGGCCAAGGCATTCTGCTTCTCTTTTCACACTAGCTGCTCTGGGAAATGTGATCCCCAAGGTTGCTAGAACCTAGAGCACACTGTCAGGAGAAGCACTCGTATCTGGGGACTGAGGTTGATTGGAGCAACTGGATTAGAGGACTCGCCCTCCTGAGCCGGGTGACACTGACCCTGATGGCTTTTACCATCCTTCAGTCTCATCATAATTATTTCTGAGCAAACTGGGCAAAACTTAAACACAAATCTGTTTTAGATTGTCTTTCTCTGTGATATATTTTGACTGAACAAACCTCAAGCAACTTACTAAGAGATTTTAAAGTCAGTTATTCTGACTTTAATCAATCAAAAACTTTAGTACTGATACACTCAAAATCCACAGCTAAGGATTTGTCAGGTTGGTAGAAGAGAGGTAGTCAACACAGGAATAAAAGCAGTGGTAAGAAAGAGATCGGCCAATTTGTCCATCCCCCAGCTTAAACACTAAACAACCATCCAGACCAGTATCTTGAATTTGACTTGGTTTAGCTGAGATTTTAATTGTACCTTAAATAAAAAGGGAGAAGGGATAGGTAACCAAGAAAAAACAAACAGGGTTGAAGAGAGAATAGAGTTTGGCATGTGACATAAAGTGTATTTAAGTGCAGTAATAGGTGATGGAATAGATGTTAGAAGGGTAGGGAGGGTGAAGAGCTTGGTAAATTGTCTGATGATTCTGAAAGTATCACCCAGCATGTCTTCATTACGTACCTTAAGTCCTTGAAATTTACCTGATGACCTCTTTTGGAGTAACAAAAGCTATAAGGTGCCAGGTAAGATTTCAGCAGAGGTAATAACAAGGTAGTACTGCAGAGGTACTGAGAGCTTAACAGACACAACAGTCATGAGTAAATGAAAACTCAGAATGAAAATTGGTGAATAGATACAAATTAGATTAAAATCCTGTGTAAGAGCAGAAACAGGGAAATAGAGTCACCCAGGGGAGGTTCTCCTAGACCAAAGAGAAACATCTTTGTTTTCATCTTCCTCTGAAGGAAGTTGAGCAAAAGCCAACTTCCTTTAGGAGTTGTCCAAACTGAAGGGAGGATTGGGAGGAACCCTTATACCTTTAGGTTCTGCATTGTTTGCTTTATCCTCTGTAGCTTCCATGATAAGGGAGTGGAATGAAAGAGGGAAGGAAAAGGGAGTCACAGTCAGTGAGTCAATGTCAGGGCTCTTTCATTCAAAAATAGCACCACAAAGGCTTTGCTTCAACTAAATGATGTTTATGAAGAGGATGCCTTAGCAACCTGAAGTTTAGGTTTCATCAAAGAGAACAATCCAGAATCGGAAGCAATATACAAACCTAAGGACCTCAGGGGGCCTTTTTAAAAGTCTACACATACCTCCCCTGTGCTTCTAATCTTTTCCACCCTCAGGAAAGAGTATCTCAAGATACATCTTGTTGCATATAATTAACATCTCTGAAACGATTGACTAATCTTTACAATTAAGTTAAATGTTCTCATTCTTGGTACAAATACCTTTCTCTAACTCAGAGTTTCTCAGCCTTAACTACTGACATTTTGGGCCACATAATTCGTTGTTTCAGGGACAGTCCCATGCATTGCAGGATTTTTAGCAATATTCCTGGCCTTCACCCATTAGATACCAGTAGCCCAACACTGCCCCTCCCAGTTATAACAACCAAAAATGTCTCCAGATACTGCCAAATTTCTCCTGGGAATAGGAGATGGTATCCAAAGTTGTCACTGATTGAGAACCATTACTTTAATCTACAGCCACTGCATTGATTTTTGCAAGTTTTACTCACTCTCTAAATTCTTAAGAACAAACTTCTTACAGAACAGAGTTTTGCAGTCAAATATCATTTTGACTTTAAGATATCTCATGGATTACACTATAGACTTCATTTCTACAGTTGAGAAATTGTATGAGCTCCTTTTATGTGGTGGGTTCTCTCCAGTAGGTTCTAGAGATACATTAAAAAAAAAAAGGTGTGATTCTTGCCCTCTAAAAGTATTTATTAATGAGGCTTGTAATCTTTAGCAAAAGGTATCATAAACTGCTAAATGATAAGTTCTTTAATTGGAGTAAGATGAGATAGTCAAGAGAATCAGAGAGAGGGTCAGATAGAGTAATAGTGAAGTTATACTGTTACTGCAGATTTGCTTCAAAGACTTAAAGAATCTAGCAGTTTCTCTGGATCTAAATTGACACTAAAGCACAGTCCTGATTCAGAGAAGCATCCAGCTTTGGGGGAGGGTTGGCTATCTTCATGTGTGTTATTCCTTTTATCCAGGTATTGTGTATTGTAACTTGAAAACAAACACGTTTCTGTCTACTCTGTCTCTCATCAATATCTCATTCACATGTACATTCACTCACACTTTCTTATGAGTGTTTCATAACGATCATTGCTTTAAACAAGTGTTCATGAAATTAAAAAGCACGTATTTCCCCATGCAATTTAATAATTTGTTACACAATTATTATCTTTAATATTCAAACACTTAGTTCCACCTACCTCTTTCAGTAGGTCATAGTGAGGCCATACACACACACAAAGGTTTTATGTGAGTGATGAGGATGGGGGAGAAAGATGTCAATCAGTTTTGAATGAATTCTCAGGAAATCTCATGTCATCAGTCAGTTAGTCCTAACTTCTCCAAGACTATGAGTTTTTCCTCAGTTAATAGTGACATGTATTATAAGAAGGTTGTTTACTATAGCAATGCATGCATAAGCAATATCAATCTCATTATATGCTAATGAATTCCATTTTGAGCAGGTTGTGGACGTCGCACAATAACTTCTTCTGGGAACAAGATAGCAGGGGGCATGGATGCTGAGGAAGGGGAATGGCCCTGGCAAGCTAGCCTTCAACAGAACAATGTCCACCGATGTGGAGCCACTCTGATTAGTAACAGCTGGCTTGTCACTGCTGCTCACTGTTTCATAAAGTAAGCTCTGGACCACATAAAGACCTCAAATTCAATTACCTAAAAATCTGATACATATCTTTCAAGAATATGGCCACACAGCTACACTTCCAACTGCTCAATATTGTGAGGTATAGCTCGAAATTACTCAATGAAGTATTATTAAAAAAAAAAAGATATATTCAGGCTAGAGCTAGGTTGTCAACAGTGTCACCACTGACATTTTGGATCAAATAATTCTTTGTTGTGGGGATTATTATTATCCAATTATTTGTTGGATCAAGTAATTCTATCCTGTGTATTATAGTATATTTAGGAGCATCCCTGGCCTTTATCCAGCAGATGTCACTAGCATCCCCTCAAGACTGACAATCAAAAATATCTCCAGTCATTAGCAAATGTCTCCTGGAGGACAAAATAGCCCTCAGCTGAGAATCACTAAGCTAAATCTACTTAATTCAACTTTATAAGGAAACTGTAAATCCCAACCTGAACATGGGTCTTCTGTTTCTTTCTCATCATTATTACATTTGGCCTTATTTCTTTAATCATTAAGTATTTCAATTCATCTTGCCTTCTCCCATATATGTTATAGCTCCATTTGAAACGATTTTTTCTTTAAAGGATATATTATTACACCAAAGTTTGCTTTTTTTGTACCCAAATGGTTTTTACCCTTTTGTTTGATTGTTCATTTCACTCATTTCTCTTGGTTTTATGTACCACTTAGTGGTTTTACATGAAGACAAAAATCCCTCTCACCCTTGAGAATTTGAAAATGCTCCTGCAGCACTTATTTTTCAGTGCCTAATGTACATCCCTTGATTAACAAGTAATAGTAAAAGTCAGAAATGTCTTTCTATTTATAGTTTTTAATGATTATAAAAGAGGATTTAGACTGTTCCCTTAATTTCCATAATTTTACTCTGTCCCAAGCCCTTGCCCACTTTTTATTTAACCTAATTATTTTGTGTTGTTATATTTATCTTTCTAAACCCTTTTCTTTTCTTTACAAAAAGGAATAAAATGTGGTCTCCATGGGTTATCTTTTAAAATAGAGTTTTCAGAGTCTATTCATGTATTCCTCATTTTTATTTTTTCTTACATATAGCCATACTGTTGTATGCTTATATTCACTATGGGAATTCAAAACATATCTATTTCTTTAAAAAAAGTATAAGATACTAATTCCTACAACTCCAACATACAAGCCTTTTAATAAATAAACCTATTTTCTTTAGGGCCAGGGATCCCAAAGAATGGAATGTTAGTTTTGGGCTTCTTCTAAGTCATCCACAAACCCAGCAAAGTGTCAAGGATATTATAATTCATGAAGACTACCACTACCCAACACATGATAATGACATTGCTCTTGTGCATCTGTCTTCACCAGTATTATATACAAGCAACATCCGAAGAGCATGTCTTCCAGAAACTACTTATTCATTCCCACCCAATTCAGATGTGGTCGTCACTGGATGGGGAACATTACAATCTGATGGTGAGTTCCTAAACTTCCTCTATTATATAGTTTGAGTTTTAGGAGTTAAAAAAAAAAAGAATCACAGCTAAGTTTGAGAAATACTCTTTCTGGGTCATTTTAAAAGAAATAATGTGCAGTGGATTGAAAAGCATCTTCAACAGCATTCATACAGAAACTATAATTTGATTGAGCTATTTACCTTAATTTCCCTTAACAATGGCAATTTTTACATAAATGCATTATTTGAATAAGTAATTCCTTTTCCTCCATTTCATTCATTCATTTATTCATTCAATAAACATTTATTTTGATTACCACCTTTGTTCCATGTACTGTCCTAGGTCATTTAAATATATTAATGAATAAAATAGGCAAATTTTCCTCCCCTTGTAAAGCTGACATTCTTAGCAAAGAAAGACAGACAATATTCATGAAATATAATAACTAAGAAGATTACACCACATATTTTATGCAGAGCAATACCATAAGAATAATAAGGACTGCAGGGAATTGGACATTTTGGATGGGGTGAAATAAGTAGCCCTCTGTGACAGAGCAATGCTTGAGCAAAGACCATTTAAACATATACATCCCCATGACCCTAATAATGTAAGATTTAGTGGCTATTTAGGTTCATCAGTACATTTGAAAGCAGAAAAAAAAACCTAAAATTAATTCCACAATTCAGAACAGTAACAAACAGCAGAAAATCTAAAAATGATCATAAAATGTATATTTCTGGAATATGAATTTTTCTTTTTTTCCTAAGGCATACATGTAATAAATATAAACTTCCAAAACAATTCAAAAGAAAAAAAATCCCATCTTATCTGGATGAACATACTGTTTCTAAATAAGGTCATTTTTAACAATAGCTGGATGTGTTCATAACACCTTTATTACTCAGAAAGGAGACAAAAGCAAGCTTAATTAAAACGTATTTTTTATATTGGTTTGGAAATTGTACATAGTATCGGATACTAATAACCTAGTTAGAGAGATTACTATTGATATTAGAAAAATTACATAATTTTCTTCTTTTAGGAGCAAGTCCTAATATACTCCAGAAAGGACTAGTGAAGATTATAGATAATAAGACCTGCAACAGTAAAGCAGTATATGGTGGTGCAATCACACCTGGAATGTTGTGTGCTGGGTTCCTGGAGGGGAGTGTGGATGCCTGCCAGGTAAATCTGCCTATTCCATTTTCAGACAGAGCTTTTTATGTGGTTTTTAATTTCCAATTAACCTGTTCAGTTGTTTCACTGACAATTTTTAAAGGCTTAATTATGTTTTATAGCCAGAGTAGCTGGCTACAATTATATTGCTATCTGATAGGTCTCATTGTAGTATGAAAGGGCTAAACCACCCTTACTGTTACAAGAAGCTGTGAGTGAGGGTGAGAATAAGACTCAATTTGGAATAAGCAATAAAGAGATGAAATAAAATATTGGTGAATTTAATTTGATTCACCCTCTTTCACAGGAAAACTCTCAACTGAGTCTAACACCAAACCTAATGATCGTGGAGCTTTCTTAATTTAGACTGATTCCAATATCCCAAGTATTTTACTTATTTGAAAACACTTATATCTTCATGTGCCAGGCAGTTTTAAGCTCCTTATGAATAATAATTTATTCAAGTTATGATAACCTTGTGATGTATGTTTATACTATTATAAACCCTATTTCTCATGTGAAGAGATCGAGACAAAGAGATCAAGTGGTTTGTCTAAACTAACACAGACGTTAAGTGGCAGAACTGAGATTTAAATTCAGGAAACTAGACTCCACAGCCTGTATTCTCAATGCTACACTGAGTTGCCTCTCCATATGCTAATATGCTTCAAATACCTCTGATCCCATTCATAAGCAATAGTCTTAGAACTAACAAAAATACTACTGTGCTTATCTAGGCACACAGAATTAGTGATAAATCCAGGAGGAGGCTTATGTTATTCATTCAATTTAATTTATTCGTTATTCTTGCACTCTGGGAGCTAGAAGATGTGCAAACAAGTACTTACAATACATAATCATCATCTCTCATTACAGATTCCCATCTTCCCAACTGTCCCACTAAACCTATTGTTCAAAGTCATGACAAATTTCAATTTTTGTCCCTCTCAATTTTCTCTGTCATCCACAATCCTATGACTCTCTTGTAGCCTTGTGCAGCCTAGAACCCATGCTTTATCATTTCAGCCATTACTGACAGCACCCTCAGTGATTTCACCATCTTCTGCTTTCCCTACACCCATTCTAATCTCCAAACACAGGGCAACTATCTACTTTATTTGCTTTTATATGCAATTTCCTGAGCACAACTAGAAGCAATCTTGCAACCTTATAAATATAAAGCTTTATCTCACATAGTTACAGCTGGGTCCTTAACACACTATAGAATTCTTTAATGCATCTTTTTATGGTGCCATATCAAACTTTTAGTATATTCATTGAATATAACCCACCATGCCCTTATATACCCTAACAAATGACATTTCCTCCTACTAACTAGAAAAAAAATGAAAGCAACTGCTCCTTTAATTTCTTTTCATCCTGAGAGATTTGTATTTTGCTTATCCTTAACCATATTAGCTCAGGATGAACAAGTTTCTTCAACAATTCAAAGCTAATCTTTTGCATATTCCTTATCCACTGTTTTCATCTACACAGGTATTTGAACTTTTCATTAATTTTGAACTTTCTTCCATATTTTCCAAACTTCCACTGTAATGGACTCTTCAACATAGTCTGCAAACATTATTAGTTCTCTCCCTTGAAAATACCCTGTTCTGTGTTTCTTTTTCCCTTCTTGGTCAAATCTTTAATGATAGTTTACCACCATTGTTCCACATTCTCAAACTTATTACTCTCTGACCCACTACTTGCAGACTTTTGCCTTACTAGTCCACTGAAAGTACTCTAGCTAGGATTACTAATGATTTTCTAATTGTCAAATTCAATACATGCAGAATAGTAAATGGACTGGAAGCAAGTGAGCTAGAGATAGAGGGATCTACTAAAATATTTTGCCTGAGAAAGGATATAAGGGCTTCAACTAAGTAAGAATAAAGAGAATAAGACAGCTGAGTTAACAAGACTATGGGACTAATCAAATGTGAGGAAGAAGAAAAGGAGGAATACACGCTAGCTCCACAGTTTTCCCTGAGCAACTGGAGAGAAGGTGTACAGGAGAAAGAGTAGATTTAAAGAGAATAAAAGTTCAATTTGAAGTGTGCTAAATTTTAGGTGCCTGTGGAATATCCAGGTACATCTGTCCAAAATGGCATTGTAAATGAAAACCTTTAGCTCAGGATAAAGTTCTGGCTAGAGATATATACCTGAAAGTCATTGTCACCTGGGTGGTAGTTAAATTCTTGAGCATGGATACAACAGCTTAGATAAAGTGTGCACAATAAGAAGGCACGACATACAGAACTCAGGTACACACACTTTTAAGGGGCCAACATTACAAGATACAAAAGATGAGAAAACAAAAAGCATAAGAAATTGGTCTCATAGGAGTCCACGGATCAGAAAAAAAGAGGGTAGTTAATAGTGACACATGCCATCAAGAAGTCTATTAAATTCAACAATTATTTATTGATAAAGTTTGGAATGGTACATTGGTGGAAAAACCATTTAGAAGGAAGCTGAGTAAAAGATTTTTAGTTTGATGAGATCTCGTTTAATTTTGCTTTTGTTGCCCTTGCCTGAGGAGACGTATCCAAAAAATATTCCTAAGATCAATGTCAAAGAGGTTACTGTCTATGTTATCTTCTAGGATTTTTATGGTTTCAGGTCTTACCTTTAAGTCTTTAACCCATTTTGAGTTTACTTTTATATATGGTGTAAGAAAATGGTTATTTTATTCTTTTGCATGTAGCTGTCCAGCTTTCCCAATACCATTTATTTGAAGTGACTGTCTTTCCCGCATTGTATACTGTCCTTGCCACATGAAAAGGTGCTCAACATTGCTAATCATCAGAGAAATGCAAATCAAAACCACAATGAAATATTACCTCACACCTGTCAGAATGGCTATTATCAAAAAGACAAGAAGCAAATTTTGGCAAGAATGTTGAGAAAAAGGAACCTTTGTGCACTGTTGGTGGGACTGTAAATTGGTGAAACCACTACATTCCACTACTGGAAAACATTTAAAAATAGAACTACCATATGATCCAGCAATTCCACTCCTAGGGATTTATCTGAAGGAAACAAAAAAACCCCACTAATTTGAAAAGATAAGTTACCCCTATGTTCATTGCAGCATTATTTATAACAGTCAAGATGTGGAAGAAACCTAAATGTCCATCAATAGGTGAATGGATTAAAAAGATATGTATACAATGGAATACTACTCAGCTATAAAAAAGGATGAAATGAAATCAAATGCAGCAACATGGATGGACCTGGATGGTATTATACTAACTGAAATATGTCAGACAGAAAAACAAATACCATATGATTTCACTCATATGTGGAACTAAAAAACAAAACAAAACAGAAACGGACTCATAGGTACAGACAACAATATGATGGTAACCGAGGTGGGGGAGAGCAGGGGACAGATGAAATAGATGAAGGGGATTAAGAGGTACACACTTCCAGCTATAAAATAAATAAGGACATAATATACACATAGGGAATATAGTCAATAACATTGTAATAACTTTGGTGACAGATGGTAACTGGACTTCGTGTGGTGATCATTTCATAATGTATAAAAATATCAAATTACTATGTTATACACCTGAAACTAACATAATATTATGTTAATTATGACTCAAATTAAAAAAGAAGTAAGTTGAGAATGGAATGAGAAATTAGAAACATCAATACAGATTACTACTTCAAGTCGCAGAGCTATGAAAAGAAGATAATTAGGGCAATAGAGGAAGTCTTAAAATCCAGAAAAGTTGTCATTTTTCAGGTAGGCAAGACCAAAAAAAAAAAATGTATGTCTGGAGGGAAAAGACAGTGGAGGAAATGAAGACATATTAGGGAAAAAAAATAAACAAAACAATTATTCATAGAATAAGGTCCTTGATCCAAAGAACAGATGGGAGGATTAACCTTGGAAAGAACCAAATACAGCCATTTGTCTGAAAAGGAGAGTAGAAACAGATGTGAAGTGGTGGAGGTGAGCTGAAGGAAAGAGATGATGGGAAGTAATTGTTTAATGGGTATAGAATTTTAGTTTTGCAAGATGAAAAAAGTTCTGGAAGTGAATAGTGGTGATGATCACACAATATGAATGTACTTAATGTCATTGAATTATATACTTAAAATGGTAATTTTTATGTTATGTGTATTTTAGACAATTAAAAATAATGATTTTTTAAATTATGAAATGAGAAAAATTTGGATTGGCTGCTCTTAAAAATGAGAAAGGAATATGGCTAAGGACACACAACTGTTGGGGAGAGGTGTTGGTTTGAGGATGTAAATTTATAACATGGTTTTCTTTCAGTATATAGTTGGCCCAGATTATAGTGAAGAAGAAGGTAAGGAGCTAAGAATCTTGCTGAAAGACTAGTGGATAAATTATGCAATATAGTCACATAAAGAAAGATGGAAAATAGGAAGTAAGAGAAAAGAGAGGAGTCAAAAAGTTGGCATTCTTAATGAAGCTGAAGCCACACGTAGAGTGAAAAGAAGTAGAGTAAAAATACTGCAGTCATAATGCTAATAATAGTGTTTCAGAGGTAGAGCTATTCCAGGTGATGACAAGGAGTGACATGGAAATGTTTAATAAATATGTAAATAATCAAAATCGAAGAAACCAAAAGACTATGGTTTCATCAAATGTGTGTTGAAATTATCCAGGATGATGGGAAAGATTAGAGCACAGGAAAATCCAGATGCCATGGTGTTCCATCATTCTGGAAAAATGGCCTAAACATCAGTAAGTGAAAACCATATGGAGTGTAGAGGGTAATTTAGTCAAATTATACAGTTCTGAAAACTGGAGGGATGTTTCCACAAGATTGAAAGAGCAGTAGTCCAGTGCTGGTGGTGGATATATATAAACTTTTTTCCTCAATATATGCCTGAAAATAGGAGAGTTTGGGGAGGTTATCAGAGAGAGTTCCTCAGCATACTGTTATGGCATTAGCAACAATATCTTAAATATCTCTTTTGGGTAATTATTCAGTTTAAGTTTTTCATACTTTTTTAAAATTTTTGTACTGTTATATCCAAGATATAAACTTTTATGTTTGATTTAAATAAATGATTATAGAATTCAAAAATATTCTTGACTAGAATCATTTTAATATTGAAATTTTAGCATTGAAATGTTGAATTATTAAAATTTTAAAATTGAAAATCAAAATGGAAATATTTTTAAAATAATTAAAATAACATCTTAACATTGAAATATTAAAATTTTTAGTATTGAAAATTTTTAATATTGAAATACATTTTTTTCCTTCTTCTGTATCTCCTTGTCTTTACTGTAGAAGAGAAAAATAAGCAGTGTTCACCTTTAAATTACAGTAATTGCATATACTTTTTCTCTTTCTAGGGTGACTCTGGTGGACCTCTGGTTGGTGCAGATTATAAAGGGACTTGGTTCCTTGCTGGTATTGTAAGCTGGGGAGATGAATGTGCTCTTCCAAACAAGCCTGGTGTCTACACTCGAGTGACATACTATCGAGACTGGATCATGTCCAAAACTGGTCTCTAGTGCAGAAGTGCTTTATAGATTAAAATTCAAATTTTATACCCTTGTTGTAAATATAGCTGTAATTCCCAAACCATATTTATTAGAATCACCTCTCTTTATGCACATTTAATGTTGCAAATTTAAACATATATAATTTTAGAACTGTGAAAATTTTTTTGTATATTAGACTTTGACAAGGGTTTAATGACAGTAATGGGCCACGACACATCATTTCCCCTTTTACCCTTTTCCAGACTGATGGGAATTATGAGTAAATACGGATTATGGGTTACCAAGGAAGTCTTCTCTAATTCTTTGCAGATCCAGGTCCCTTGGGAAATCATAGACTAGATGTTAGCAATAAACTTCCCTCCGAGTGTATAAATAATCCCCTGCTGAATCACATGGACTCCACAAGATCCACATATCTGTAGGTTGTAGCCTAGGAAGTTGCAATAATACTGCCTATAAAATTTTTTCAGGAAACTGTACCTGTTTTCTTTCTAGTCTTTGTACCAATGCTATCCCTTCTCTTTTTATGTCTTCCTCACCTTAAGTGAGGCAAAACAGGCTGATAATCCCATGGAGTGCTTTGATAGATCCCGATGCTTGTTGATTTGTCCCTATTTCTCTTTCATATAAAAATGAGGCCATTCACTGTCATCACCGGTAAGGTGAAGACAACAATGGTCCTGACCTCTAGGGCTGTTGTAAGGATAAATGTACTCATATGTGTAACATGCTTAGAAAAGTGCCTGACACAGTAAGTACCCAGTAAATGTTAAATATTATTAATAGTGTCATTATTGCCAAAATCAATGAGCAGAACTAGATTCATGGTTCTTTGAACTTCTTAAATACTTCAAATGTCACTCACCTTCTGCTTCACCTACCCACTTCCACAGCCATATCCTGTACTTTCATCTTACTCAGAACAGCTTCACACATCTGGAATCTTAAATTCAAGTTTTTATCTACATCCTCCTAGGTTTATGACTCCCTTACTTCCTTATAGCAGAGTGACTCAGTTATACATATCTGACTAATACAACATTGTAAATCAACTGAACATCAATGAAAAAATAAATAATACAAAATTTAAAAATTATTGTGAGAAAAAAGAAACAAATAATGAAGCATTTACACGCCAGTGTTTTTTTTTTTTTTCCTTTCCCTAAATGTAGAAGGCAAAAGACAAAATATACTTCGGTATAATCAGATCTTACCATGAACATTTTTTCCTTTCTTCTTTTGGTTGCTGGCCCACATATAATAGCTTTTCAGGTTTATAAGGACTATCCAGTGGTACCTTGTTTTGTCTCAAGCATATGGCCCCGATCAGATTAACTGACATGATGTATATGCAAAACTTTTTGAGTTCTTCAGAATAATTATCTGTTATAATCAGGACTGTGTGATTCTAAGGAACCAATTATAGCTAGTACAGTAGGTATAAAATTTATTGTCACAGAATCAGATGTGAAAAAATGCCTTTGTTTAATATTCCACATAAATATAACTTCACTCCCCTAACATCTAAATAGCTGAGGGCTCAACAAATACATTTCTTTCAATCTATTGTGAACTTGTGGATTAAAGTGCTAGTTTCTAATGTTATAAATATTTTAGTGTGTAATATAGTTTAACTTATTTGGGTGTTCTAGTGGGAATTTTGATTTTTCTTTAACGATCTGATTTTGCTTATTGATTCTTACTTACAGTGACCCTTATTATGTGCAAATTTATCTATTTGCTAAAATTTATTTGTTACCCCAAAATCATATTTGCAGAGATTTTATAATTATTCCCAGACATGTGCATTCACAGAGTTTTCACTTTGCCCAGGGAATTTCCCAGCTAAGTGTCAACAAGGCAATGTTCTGCCTTCTAGTTTCAGCAATTATATTACAAGCAAGCATCCATAAAAAGGAGGAGGAACTTTGCTGATCTGTAACTAAGGCTTCTCCAGAGTGTGCCAAAGTGAAATGTATAATATGTGAAGAAGCCATGGAAAAGCCGGCAAAGTTATGAAACTTATGGATTCATGAGATGAGGACTGATTTTTTTTTTAATGTTGTAGACAGCATTGTTTGAGGCTGAAAGCCAAAGAAATTTATGGTAACTGGCTTGCACATTTCAAAAGGCGACATAGTGTGAAAATGTCAAATTGCAGGTGAGGCAGTTTCTGTATATCAGGGATCTTAGAATTTTTTTAATGAAATATAGTCAATTTACAATATTATATTAAAGAATTTTTTAAGTATCTCCTATGTGATATGGGGTTATGTGGAAGAGCAGGTGTTCAGCACCGATGAGTTTTGGCTTGTTTGACAAGAATGCTGGCATATAAAACTAAGTGATGCAAATGGTGTTACTGGCTTGCAGAAACACAAACCCTGTATTTTCATTAGGAACAACAATCTGTATTCACTAATTCAGCACTCATGGCAACTTTACAGAACATGACTTCCACAAATAATGAGAGTTGACTGCATTGTATATTGATGCTATATCTTTGCTTTAAAATCCATGTGCTACATTTTTCTAAAAAACATAGTCCTCTTGATTTCTGCCTCATCTATTCCTCCCACTAATTTTTCTAAAACAGTCCATTTCAGGACCGGAATAGTCCATTAAAAAATATTTCCAAACCCTTCAGAAAGCCACTTACAAAGCCAGAGTCCATGTCCTGCAGTATAATATTGAATCCAAGTCTGAAAGTAGTGAGAAAAGCCAATATTTCTGATCATGTGGTGACAACCAAAGGGGAACCCAGGTAAGCTACTGACCTAAGTGGCTCAAGACCTAGGAGCCAGCACAGAAGGAGCTAAGGAGGCACTGAGGGTACATCCAGTATGCTTATCTAATCTTCTGTAGTACCCAGTAAGCTCCTTTGGGCCTGGATGATGCCATATGCACATTTTAATACCTGCCAAGGCCACGCGAGTTTACATAGCAGGTATTTAGTAACTATTTATTAAATAAATGAGTATAAGACAGAATAAATAAATAAATGAACCAATAAGAATGGGCCATCTAAATCAAAATAGCCACTTTTACTTTCAGATTTATTCCCTTGTTTGGCTATAACAGAAGCAAGCTAGTTGACGTAAGACAAGTCAAGCTGGTGATTTAATAAATTCCAATCTAAGCCATACTAGTATTAGTAAACAACATCATCAAGCAATCACCATGAAGGTTAAAGCAACAACGCAGAGAAAGTTTCTAAGTGGCCCTAGTGTAAAACGATCATATTGCATATAAAGGAATATAAACAAATATTCATTTATATATAAACATACATGGTTGTGGTTACAGCATTTATACAATATTCTCTCCAATATCCAGTTACCCTATGCAATAATATGCAACAATGGCAGCACGGTATTTAGACATTTATAAAATCAAGGCGATTACAGAAAAAACAGTTAATGATTTTACTCTAATTTAAGCATGGATGATCTGACCTTTAAAATTGATTGAGAAATTTGAATGCAGCCCAATTTGTATTAGATCCAATTCATTCTGTTAAGGTATTGAATTGATGTTTCACGGAGGATGGTTTGAAATAAACATATTTATCTAGTGTTTGAATGCTCTGCAGTGTGTGATTAAAAAAAAAAGAAATGTTTTTGAGAAATGTACAAATTCTTCAAACAACAAATTTTAACTGGATCAAGTTCTTTTTTTAGTATTTTTATTTTTTATTTTGCATCTGCTGAACACAAGATGAACATTTAATAGTTTTGAGAAAACCTCTTCATTAAAGTTACTTGAATCTTATCAAGTGAATTTTAAATTCAAAAACTAAGCTTCAGACATCCTTCTTCACTTAGAAAAATGTTGTGAAAACCAGACCATCTGCTGAGGTACTACAGTTACATTCGGCCCTCAGAAAGCGCTTGGCCAGCTCTGCATTAGCGCTCTATTGGATTACAAGCCCACAAAACAAGTTCACCTTGATCTTTCACTTAAAATATAAAACATCTCAGGGACAAACTTTGACATGAATACGTAAACCTGTGATGTTTCCATCTAAAGAAAGCTGAAATAAAACAGAACCTTTTGGTTCAACTACAATAAAACAACAGAAGCACCAGAAACAAGTCTTGACGCTCTCCGTCAGGAAGGATGGCAAACAGTGCCTCTCCCGAACAGAATCAAAACCACTGCTCAGCCATCAACAGCAGCATCCCACTGACACAGGACAACCTCCCCACCCTGACCTTATCGGGAAAAATCCGTGTGACAGTTACTTTCTTCCTTTTTCTACTCTCCACAACTTTCAATGCTTCTTTCTTGTGGAAACTTCAGAAGTGGACTCAGCGAAAAGAAAAAGGGAAAAAACTCTCAAGGATGAAAGTGCTTTTAAAACATTTGACCTTAGCCAACCTGTTGGAGACCCTGATTGTCATGCCACTGGATGGAATGTGGAACATTACCGTGCAGTGGTATGCTGGAGAGCTCCTCTGCAAAGTCCTCAGCTACCTGAAGCTTTTCTCCATGTATGCCCCAGCCTTCATGATGGTAGTGATCAGCCTGGACCGCTCCCTGGCCATCACAAGGCCTCTCACTATGAAAAGCAACAGCAAGCTCGGACAGTTCATGACTGGCTTGGCCTGGCTCCTCAGTAGCATCTTTGCTGGACCACAGGTAAATCAGTATCATCAACTTGTTAGGGTATGGAGATCCAGAGTTCCTATCTAAACTTGAATGAAGGCCTTGTCAAAGGCAGTATTGTATTATCTCTTAAGAGCTTGGGCTCTGGAAGTCAGAGTAGAATTTAATCCTGGCTTTGCTCTTTTACCTTGAGCAGATATCTTAATCTCTCTGAGTTTCAATTTCTTCCTTTATAAAATGGAGGTAATGCCTACTTTATGCACCTTTTGTGATGATTCAACGAGCTGTGTGTTAAAGTGTCTATCATAATCTCTGGCACATAGTAAATGCTCCTCTAAAGTGTAGCTATTCTCCAGTTTGACCTCATCCCCATTCTATTCTTCCACCTATTTTTCCTTTTATTCTGATTGACATGGTAAATTGAGAGAATCTTTAGGAATGATGAAATTTGCATAGGTAGAATGTACGCATTACTTGTTTTATTTGGGTCTTCTTGAGTCTTCTGTCATTGCAGATCAGAGAGAAATAGTCCTGATTAGTACTTTGTTCTGCAGTTTGCAGCTGTGTGGGACTGAATAGAGAGAAAATGTAGGAAATCTTACACTTTTGGAAATTTGAATATTTCTCTGAGGTTGACTTGAGCTTTTCTGGAGGTGGGTTAGACTGTTAACAAAAGTATGAGACTGTCCGTGCAGGCACAGGCCCTCTCCTAGAGGAGGCAGACTTCTCTCCGGACTGTTTTCATTACAGGTAACCTGGTTAATTGACCTGCAGAATCTGCCTTAGCAATAGTCAGATCTCCAAAGAAAAGGACACATTCTTGAAAATGGCAAAGATCGTTTAATAACAGATGAACAGGTTGTCTCTATGCTTGTAAATGTACTGTATGATGAATCCAGGGTACAAGAATGTGTCAAGAATTAAAGTCAGAATTTCCCAAGATCCTCAAAAACTTGCCACTACAAATGGAAATGTATCTAGATGTTCTAAACTGGCCAGGTGACTTAGAAACAAACAAACAAAAATTGCCACATAGGACTCACAAAATAGTGCAAGGTACTAGAAAGCTAGACAACTAAATTCTCCTACCAACTCCTCCCTTAACATTTTTTGAACAGCAGTATGTGTTTTATGGCAGGAGAAATGGGAAAAACCAAAATGTTTTTATTTCTGTGGATAAAAGTATATTACAATTATTCTTACAAGGATTGCATATACAAGAATTAGTTTAGCAAATATGTCACTTAAAATGAGTTTACTTAGCAAAGGCTTACACTCTGAAATTTTCCATTTTATCTCTTTAAAGTATGAGTGCTGCTTATTGTCTAGTTTTCTTAGAGAAGATAAACACAAGTTAAGTGACTAACACTGAGCCTGGTAATCATGAAGCAATGAAACACTGTCAAAGAAAGAAAATGTCATTCAGTTGTAGAGGTAAAAATTATGCAAAACAAATACAACTACGTACTAAAAAGTCTTTAAACCTATTACAAGTGTCAGAAGAGAGAGAAATGAATAAGAGTTGAAATGGTGAAAGTTTTACAGTAAAGATAGGATAAACTGAGTTTTTAAGGATGAGTCGTATTTGAATGGAAAAAATAATCCAAGGATAACATGTAGTTTTCAGCAAAAGTTAAGGGAATAATTTTCATAGGAGTCTTGTTTGGCTGTAGTAAAAGACCGAGAGTCGAGAGTAGCAGGAAATTAGATTCAGTGGCTGCTGCCGTTCCTTTGACCTCGGAGCACACTATTTCTTTGTCAGAAAACATTGGGATTATGTATTTGCTTGTCTCTGCTATTATGGTATATGTTCTTACAATAGTGAAGAGTGTTGTGTTCAACTTAATTAATATTCACAGTACTTAATAAGATACCTAACAAAAATAGAAATTTAAAATGTTTGGATACTTTGGTTTCTCTTCAGATGAAATAAGTCTGTCACTGCTTACTAAAAAAAAAAAATTTTTTTTTGAAGAAATGAATCAGTAAATGCTGGTGGGATGGATGGATGTAACAGAAGACATTGCTAGCCAGGGGAAATTCTAAAAGTAATATGGAAGCCATATAACCTAGGTGAGTCCTGTGCAAGGAGTAAATTTTTTTTTCCGGTTTTATTGAGAAATAATTGACACACATCACTGTATAAGTTTAAAATGTACAGCATGATGGCTTGATCTGCATATATTGCAAAATTATTGTCACAGTAGATTTAGCTAATATTCATCATCTCATCCAGATACAATAAAAAGAAAAGAAAAAAGAAAAAATCCTTTTCTCCTTGTGATGAGAACACTTAGGATTTACACTCAGCAACTTTTCTATACAGCACACAGCAGAGTTAACTGTGTTGTACATTATTAAAATGATTTTTTAACAAAATATTTTTAAGAAAATTTACACAGAGTCTAATGGCGTGGAGAGAGAAACAAGCCTTTTCAGATCACCTGGCGATGAGGTGATCAGGCTGGGGGCTAGGATGGTGTCAGAAGAGGTGGATAGTATTTATAAGGGACATTTCAAACAAAAAACGAAGATTGGCAACACCCTGGATTTAGGGGGTTAATAACAGAACGAAGTAAAATAAAGCTCCAGTATTTTTAACCAAGGAGTTTTAAAACCTGTCTTGAAATGGACAGGTAGGTTGGGAAGAAAAGCATGTGTTTGTCTGCCTGCCAAGTTATTTGAAGGGGAGGGAAGGCAGGCTATTAATAGAACTAAAAAAAATATTTGCTTTAGGACATGATCTTGACAACATAAGGTCTTTATATAATACAGCTATTTGGAAAGTAGTTGGTAATTTGGGGTACTGATGTAGATGAAAGTCTAAACAAAGTACAGATAAGTCAATTTCTGATCATAACTGAAATACAAACCAACAATTTCACTTTCTTTTAAAGGACTCTCCCAGAGACTATAAATAAAATAGACTTACTTATTTAATTATTTTCACCTGAGTATATCACAGCACTAATAGCAAGAAAACACCAAATACCTATCTTAATGATAAAAAGAAAATTAAATTTGAATTGCTTAGGAATTTACTATAATAGCCTAAACTCAAGTGCATTACTTTACCTGAGAGATTTGTGTGAGTATGGGCTACAGCAAACGGTAGTACTGTTTCATTTTATAAAGCAAAGGACTCCTCCTTACTTTTAGCAGCACTTTAAATTTATAAAGCACTTTGCTGAAATTTCCTGACAAACCCCACATTCATCATCTTATTCACGCTGACTCTGTGAGGTCCATAAAAGCTGTGTTACTATCCCCACTTCACATGTAAGAGAACCTACAAAGGGAACCTTTGAAAACCACGGCACTCAGAACTTTCTGACAGTGACCCAGAGAAAGAACTACATACTACGTGAAGACCTTGTGTCCCTTTTTCTCACACACCTGTAACTGAGAAAAGTTTTCATAAAATAAATATTCTACTCTGTTCCATTTCATTTTTTAATGTTGTTGCAACCAACAACTGAAGGGCACAACCTTCAGTTTGAAAACCACCAATTTAAAGGATTTATTGTTTGTCCAGTGCCACTTGACCTGTTGGACTCATGTCTTTTTATTAAGTCCAGTTTATCTTTTCATTATAGCTGTCTGCTCTCTCTCTGAATGGAAGAGGTTTCAACCCATGACTAATGTATTTGATGGAGAATATTTGGAAGAGAGGGCTTTTTACTTCCAGACGGTGTGACACACAGGGAGTGTACTGCGTACTTCACCCATTCTACTGGAAAGCCCACTGACAAAGGCCCATCCTGCTGTGGCTAATTACATTGAAAGGATGACGTTAATCCTCATCCTTTGGTGCATATGTTGATAGTCTGTCACTCGAGTAAGTCATGCCTAGGTTGAAAAAAAGAAAAAACTGACAAGCTAGTTGTCACATTCCTGGGAATCTGGGAATTTCTGACATTTTGCTAGAGGTCAGAATAACCAGATTTCAAATTGCCCACCTTGGTTTTCCACCTTCCTGATAATGTCAGAGTTCTGTGATGGTTTGGAGATACATTTTCAGAAGTTTCTGCGTAGTATGGCCAAAATGTCCTACTTTTTGCCAATAATGGAATTTTCTTTTAAAACAAAAGTATACAAAAGTATATGTGGAGCTTCAAAAAATGAAACTGATATAAGAGGAGAAACTGATATAAGAGCTCCGGCTAAATAGGGAAAAGGGAGCCCCAGTCCTTCGCTTGGTTTTTCACTCACCCCAGTCAGTCTCTGAAGACCTCAGATCTCCCTGCAAGTCTGAAAGGCAAAGGGATGGTAGAAATGGTGTGGGCATTAGATTTAAACACTCACTGCTATTCATTCCTTCCTTCATTATAGAGTTTTTGAAGTCAGGAGAAAAACTAATAGGGAAATATGAGTATGAAAATAAAATGATTCTTTAAGAAACAGCAAAGAAAATTTCTTAAATAAAGATTACTTCAAAGTTCTCAAAATTATAACATTCATTCTGACTGGTAAGCAAATCTGGCCAATGTGCTCCCTAGTCACAATACCATCCACTCACTCTGAAAGCTATATATGCCAGAGCATAATAATTCAAATCTTGAAAGTATTGTTTCTAAAAGAAGGATAAAAAAAAAGGATGGAAGGGAGATACAGAGGGGGGCAAAGAAAAGAGAAAAGAAAGGCAAGGCAAGGTAACAACCAAGGAAATCTGGTTTAAGGCCAGCTATGGTTAGGCTAGTTAGTGCATGTTAAGGAGAAAACATTTTCTGAATTAAGTGTGTCCATAGCTAATTAAGAAGTTACAAGGTTTCTAATGATAGTCATCTAAGACCACAAGAATTCCAGTGTAGCAGATTATTTGCAGATAGAGTTCATATCACTAGTTCATCTGTGTTACTATGGAGACTTACAAGTTGACAGCTTTTAAATTCTATATGTAACCCAGGCCTGCAGGGAAATAGAGTTATCTCTCAATATCCTGGGGGATTGGTTCCAGAGCACACCCAACAAGATCCCAGCCCCCACCCCTACCCCTGCCGCACGTAACAAAATTCCCAGATGCTCAAGTTCCT